ATGAGATAAGAATACAAGCACTCCATTTGTTGATGGAGACATGGAAGCACAGGTCTTTCCCAGGGTCACCCAGATGGGCAGTGGGTCTCAGAAACTAGCTCTAGATGCCAGACATTCAGCTGCAAACAATGCTCACACAGCAGCTGTAGTAAGAATTAGAAACAAAATCTAGCATGAGGAAAGCATTTAAGAAATCTCTCTAAACACTAGTTGAATATAGTCTTAATAATTTAGCCACAGCATACAAGAAGTCAAAAGTACTTTTGCCAAAGTACTTCAAGTTTCAAGTATTCTGAAACATCCTCGTGGTACAAGCACATCATGATCCTGGACTTCTGCTGTCTTCCTGAAGGCTGCTGCATTAGATCATCAAAGCAGATATTCTCTTACTTGCTCCTGCCCACCACAGTCTGTTCTCAGTCTTTTTGGTCCTTCCAGTTGGCTAACCTCATTCCCTTAGCTGGATCCAAACCCACTGGGTAAAGGGACTGTGTCCCTTCATTATTTCCCCAACATCAGACACCTAGGAATCACTCAGTAAATATTTACAGGTAAGTAATCAATGCCTTCCTTGTTTAGATTCCAAGTTCAAAGCTTCTAGAGAATGTTATCTCATGTGAAAATGTGTGATTGACACATGCAGTTATGAACTCTTTCTATATCTCTCATTCTAACTCCCCTTAAAATTATATGTACTAGATGGAAGTATGCATTTCTGTTGGATATATACAGAGGAATGAGATGTACCTAGCTTGTACACATTCACCAAATTATAGGTCCTGGCTGAGCCCTTCTTATATCAAATCGAACTCAAAAATTTCCAGATTCTTAACAATAGACAGAAAAAAATCATAGCACAATCACTTGATGGAGTACTATGTAGTAATAAGAGTAAGTCATCAATGGTTACATGCAACAACATGGGCAAATGACATGCCAGAAAACACTGGAATGGAGAAGCCAGACCTCCTCCAGAGCACTCACTGAATAACTCCATTTGTATTACTGAAAATGAACCAAGATAACATTGCAGACAAAATGCATGAATACAATTTGATGGTGTCCAGATAGCTTTGGAACAGTGGCTGGCTGGTGTCTGGAAGGGGTGGGAAGAGGTTTCTGGGTTGTTGGGAATGTTCTGTTTTTCCATTCACATTCTATGGCCCAGATACCCTCAACTTGTCACATTTTATGGCTCAGATACCCTCACTGCGCTGTGTCTTTATGGTCATGTGCACTTTTCAGTCTGTGTTGCTTTTCAAATGTGACCAGAAAGAAGCAAATATCAAAAGAAGGAATTCCCCACGTAACTGCAAGCCTAACTCACTCATAACAGCCACTCTCTCACCCAGGAAGTGCTTGTTGCTCTTAACCAGAGGACCACGAATGTGTTTCATGAGCCAATTCAACCCTAACTTCTTTGCAAGCTAGTGCTCTCTCCCTTGCCCTCATGATATCCATAACAGGAGCACATTCACAAAGGCTTTGGGCCACTTACCCTTGTAATCTCAACTACTCAGGAGGCTGAGATAGAAGGATTAATGTTGTAAGCCAGCCAGGGCAGAAAATTCCTCAAGACTCCCTCACCAGCTAACCAGTGAAAAGCCAGACCAGATGACTCAAGTGGTAGAGATCTAGCTGAACAAGCCAAGCAAGTGTGAAATTCTGAGTTCAAGCCCCAGAACCAGCCAGACAAACAAACAAAAAGACAGTGCTTGTTGAAGGAAGGAAGAAGGAAGTTAGGAAGGAGGATAGAAGGGAAGGAAGGAAGGAAAGAAGGGAGGGAGGGAGGGAGGGAGGAAGGAAGGGAGGGAAGGAAGGAAGGAGGGAAGGAATGGAGGAGGGAAGGAAGGGAGGAGGGAAGGAAGGAGGGAAGGAGGGAAGGAAGGAGGGAAGGAATGAAGGAAGGAGGGAAAGAAGGAAGGAGGGAAGGAAGGAAGGAGAGAAGGAAGGAAGGAGGGAAGGAAGGGAAGAAGAAAGGAGAAAAGTTTCCAGCATAAATCTGGTCCTGGGTTTTGCTCCTTAATCTTGTTCTGTTGACTTGTCCCCTTGGGAACTAAGAAAAAATGGACTGCATTGATTCCCATTTGCTAAGGTACAGGTGCCAACAGATTGTACCAAAAGTCACTATGCTCAAGCCTTAATTTGGACTATTGACTTCTTTGCTTTAAGATGGAATGAAAATTAGGTCCAGATTTTCTGTGTTTCATCTCTGTAAGTGAGATACAAGAATTTAGCTAGCGAAAGCAAGAGACAGCAGGCAGACAGACACTAGGCACTTGTTACAAAATCTATAAAATGTCATGGCCCAGAAACAAAAGTCACAGTGGTTGAATAGTATCTGATGTCTTATAGAAGTGAACATTGCTGTGCGGTGTTGCAATTTAAAAAAATATTATAGAAACTGTGATATGACACTGCCGCTGTTCTGAGCCTAAGTCAGAATGCATTTCTGTCTGGAGTTCTGTTTCTCACTTGGTTCCTCAGCAGAGCAGAGCACCAGCGACAATTCGCTGTGTGCTGTGTACCAATGCATATGAATGCATGCACATTTACATATCTGGAACCCTAGTAAAAAGGCACAGAGAAATTTGAAAAATGATTGTACAGATACACTGAATCCTAAATCTTGTTAAATCCGTACATAGCAACTTCTTGTTCTACTTTCTCTCTTTTTTTTAATTTTGGAGGAAAAACAGTGACTAAGACATATAAATAACCAATTACTAATCAGAAAAGCTGATAATAACACTGATTACCCCCCACCCATCACTATTGAGGTTTTCCTTTCATTATCAAAAGCAGGAAGAGCACAGCCCAAATGTTTTCACCAGTGAGCTTTCTCTCTGTCTCTGTCTCTGTCTCCATCTCTTGTTTTTCTGCACATTTTGCTAAAATATAAAATGGATCTTTTTGACGAGGCACACCACTAGTTTGCCATGCTGCTCATTCCTTGGCTTTTCCTGTATGTGATGCTTTTGATAAAATGCTTTTGAAGGCTGCAAGATTGCAATATGGCATCCTACACCCAACCTGAGACACCCCAGCCTGCCTGGGCTCACTTTGATATTTGTGCTCCTTTGCATTTAAAAATTAAACCACATACAAAGACAAACAAAATCCTGCCTTTGACCCCACTAGGGAAATTCTTTGTGCTAATACATAAAATGGGGTTAGGTTTTGATTCCAAATGTTCCATGAAATTGACACTCAAGAGCAACGATAACTTAAGCTACCAATTTTCAGATGACTTTGTTATATTTGCTTCTATTCTAAAACATGAGAAAGCCAATTTACCCATTTTAACTTACAAATTTAGAGTCTTACTCTTACTGTTTTTATTGTTGATTAGGAGAGAAAATTGTCCACTTTTGCCTCGCACGATTCTTGTTGCCAGCTCCCCCATCTTTCCTAGAATTGTCTAGGAGAAGTCGGGTGACTTTTTGAGGAGGGTGAGAATGTCAGGTAGAGGAACTGCACTATATTTTGTGCCAATGTGAGCCCCACGTGCAGCAGAGCAGCAGAACCCAGGCCTTCCTGCAGTGGGATTTGTAAGGGGGGCTCACAGGGTTAGAGATTACACTAATACCAAAAGCATACTCATGCTAGAGAAGATTACACAGGCAGGCATCAAACAACAAAGCTTGTGTTTGTTTGTTTGTTTTTAAACTTTACTTTGAAGTTCACTTTTTACCTTGGGTACATTCCCGAAATGAAATGCATGTTGATAGGAAGGGGTAGGAGAGGAGAGAAGAGATGGTGCAGTTTCTTGGCTTCAGGGTCCAGCTTGTTAGGCAGACTGTGTGAGCTTTGTACTGCAAAGTAGAAACACCTCCCAGCTGTTATGGAAAAGAACCCAAAAGAGGGGACCACACCTAATAGGGGAAAACAATTGGACATGTATATAGAAACAAGATGATAATTAAATTGATGACAGTCTAGAAAAAAACAAAAAAAGGAGTTTTTTTTTAAGGACAAAGACCAATAAATAAATAAATAAATCTGAAAACTCCAAAACGTGAGAATGCTAATCTGTGATATAATTCCTCCAAAGAATGCTGAGTGGAAAATAAAACAACCCTAAGTGATTATTTTTATGTTTATTGTGCTTGAAATGGAATGAGAAGAAGCAGGCACGTTAATGATTGGCGAAAGAGGATAAGGAAGGAGTAAAATGCGAAGTTCGTAACTAGTGGAGAGTCCAAGTGTGATTGAGTTGTGTCTGCACCGGTCTATATGTGCCTGTGTTCATGTAGCTATGTATTATCTATGTATTTACTTTGTTATGTATGTATGTATGTGTCTGTCTAGCTATCAATCATCTGTCTATTTTATCCAATCTCCCAAAAAAAGTTGTGGGAAGATAACAGCAAATGTAGGAACGGGAACATTTGAGGATGCTTTTCACAGACTACAGATAGACAGAGAAACTATTCTTTTATTCCAAATTTCTAAGGAGCACAGAAGTCTTACATGCGATAAAGAACTCACACACACATGTACAGACAGAGATACACTAACACAGACACAGATACAGACACACACAGACACAGACACACACAGACACACAGACACAGACACACACAACACACACACACATACACACACACACACACACACACACACACACCATGAAACAAACAAAGAAATAAAGAGCCTGTGCCGACCCTGCTCTCTGCTGCTCGTCTCAGTTTGGTTCAGCACCCAAGCCCAGTGTCTGCCCAGCTCCTTGCCAAGGCTCTCATTCCCTGGTGCCCAGGTGCCCTGGTGCCCAGGTGCACAAAGGAGATGGTGATCCTCACAAAACAACACCATCCCCAACAACAAAAATCTGGCTCACACAAAAGCCCACCTTGCAAATGAATGGAATATTAACGACTCCCTAGCAGTGGCACCGTTGGCAGGGCGAAAGTGAGCAAAGCACTAACAACACAGCTCTTTCTCCAGATCGCCAGGGAGAGAGGAACACACTACTGCAGGCGGAGGGCTGGTGCGGTCCCTCCCTACCCGGCTAACCTCCTGTGTTGATGCATGGATGCTGGTACCCACTTACAGGGATGCCAGATGATCAGTGCAGAATGAAGGTCCCAAGAGAGGATCACATGGCTCTCTCTGCCCTGTGACGTCACTAGCAGATGGCATGAGTACCAGCTCTGGCAGTTGGTATCAATGTCACTTTTTAGAGATCAATGAGATAGTGCAGATATACACAGATCTAGAGGCTCCTGGAGACGATGCAACACTCAGCCTGAAAAGATTTGGAAGACCCAAAATGAAAACTGATTATTGAATGAAATTAAAACCTAAGGTAATATAAATAAAGATATACTTCAATTGCTGCTGGCTTTGCATGCAAGTATTTAAAGATACAGTGTCACTGTCTTGGAGTATTTATATGCTCTTTGCCATCTATAACTTCTTATCCTATCTTGTTCTTATGATATAATTATCACATACTTTCACTGCTATTATGTAGGACTGCCAGTATGTGGACATTACTAAGAGTTTGTGTGTGTGTGTGTATGTGTGTATATGTGTGTGTGTGTGTGTGTGTGTGTGTGTGTGTGTGTGTGTGTGTGTAGGGGGCTACAGATTAATTGTTACATTGAAAAGTCTCTGCTTTAGCATGCTTGTTTGTTGGAAGACTCTAGATGAAAATCCTTGCTGCTTTTTCCCACAAAAAAACAAAAATGCAATTGAAACTTAAATTCTCTTCTTCCCCTTTCATTTGGATTCTAAACACACGCGCACAATTGCAGTGAGAATTCTTGGACCATTCCTGTGGGCTCTTAGCTAGAGGGACACTTCTGTGGCTCATCGAACAACAACAACAAAAAACCACTATGAGAGTAGGGTTTTTGTCCAGGATGATCCGAACAACAGTAAACAATTACATTCAAAATAATCTTAATGTCATGTTTTTGTTTTAAAAATTTCCAGTGTTTTTTATTTTCATTTGTTTATGGAAACTGGCTCTTTTCTTTTTACAAATTTGTCTAATCCCCTTTTCTTTTCAAAGGCAAGGAAAATAGTGTTCTTTTGCATAATTCTTTTACTGATCAGAAAGAAATCAGTTTTAAAATGGATCCAATTACTCTTTTCTTTAAATTTGTATACTCTAACAGTCATTTACTTAAATTCACACTTGAATGATATGATCATTGCAAACAGGGGATTTTTTTTCTAAGGAAAATCTCACAAATTTGTCAGTTAATGGAGAGATAGTACTTTTCATTTTAAAAACTGTTTTCTCTGCTGTTTTGCTCTCGGGTGAGCTGGAATTAATGAAATTTTGCATTGCTATAGCATGGTTTTCATTTGCTTGAATTCCACAATCTTTTTCCTACATTAAAATCCAGTTTAAAATCCCAGGGAAATGGGGAGGGAGATGCTGCTGAATGAATGCATCCTGACTTCTTGGCTTTTGGTAATTTGCCTGTGTAAATCAATTCTATTGCATGCATCAGTGTTTTTTGTTTGGGGGTGTTTTATTTATTTTTTAACAATCATTAGTCTGCACAGACTCAAAAATTTTATTTAATGCAAAAAGGTATTCGTCTTGATATCAGTCTTTCTCATGTGCTTTGGAGTCTTAAGATTAAGTTATCAAGTGTGTCTGAAGTATATAAACTTGAAAAATGAAAACACTTTAAATATTGTGCTGGCATTTTTTCAGGTAATTTAAAATTAGAGAACCATGTTAACACTACCGTTTGATGAGTCTGTTGTAATGCCAGAATCCCAGATGTGCAGAAAGTTTTCTAGAGAATGCGAGGACCAGAAGCAAATCAAGAAACCGGAAAGCTTTTCCAAACCAGTTGTCCTTCGAGGCAAGAGCCTCAAAAGAGCCCCAGGAGAAGAAACTGAGAAGGAAGAAGAGGAGGACGATCGAGAAGAGGAAGATGAAAACGGGCTGCCCCGAAGGAGGGGTCTCAGGAAAAAAAAGACCTCGAAGCTTCGGCTGGAAAGGGTCAAGTTCAGGAGGCAGGAAGCCAATGCCCGAGAGCGGAATCGGATGCACGGCCTCAACGATGCTTTGGACAATTTGCGAAAAGTGGTCCCCTGTTATTCCAAAACCCAAAAACTATCCAAAATAGAGACTTTACGACTGGCCAAAAACTACATCTGGGCACTTTCCGAGATCCTGAGGATCGGCAAGAGGCCAGATCTGCTCACGTTCGTGCAGAACTTGTGCAAGGGTCTCTCCCAGCCGACTACAAACTTGGTGGCCGGCTGCCTGCAGCTCAATGCCCGGAGTTTCCTGATGGGGCAGGGGGGCGAGGCTGCGCACCCCACCAGGCCGCCCTACTCCACCTTCTACCCTCCTTACCACAGCCCCGAGCTGGCCACCCCCACGGGGCACGGGACGCTGGAGAATGCCAAGTCCATGAAACCCTACAATTACTGCAGCGCGTACGAGTCCTTCTACGAGAGCGCTTCCCCCGAGTGTGCCAGCCCTCAGTTTGAAGGGCCCTTAAGTCCTCCCCCAATTAACTATAATGGGATCTTTTCCCTGAAGCAAGAAGAGCCCTTGGACTATGGCAAAAATTACAATTATAGCATGCATTACTGCGCAGTGCCGCCCAGGGGCCCTCTGGGGCAGGGCGCCGTGTTCAGGTTGCCCGCTGACAACCCCTTCCCCTACGAGCTACATCTGCGCAGCCAGTCTCTCACCATGCAGGATGAATTAAATGCAGTTTTTCATAATTAATGAGGAAAATGAAAATAAACGGTGGTCATTCACCCCCCCCACACCCGCCCCTCGTCTAATTAAGACGAGGCAGATGCCCGTGGGCTGAGTAATTGGCACAACTCTGTTTAAGGTGTTCACTAGTTTTTCAAGTGTGCTCCAACTGCCGTGAGAATTTTCTATGTAATAAAAAAAAATCTCTTTTCCTATGAGAACTTCTATTCCTTTCCTTTTGTCTGTAAACCACTGTGATTCTGTTTCTACTGACAGGATTTTTTTTTCTTGCTTTATTTTCTCTTAGATTTACTTAATTTGTTTGAACAAGGTGTCTGAGAAAATAGTACTGAATGAAGACACGCAAGGAGCCTGTCTTTTCCAGTTGTACAGTCATTATAAAAATGCATGATATTAAAATCAGATGAGTCAAACGATGTGTTGATGATTATTAGGCATTATATATTATGTATCTCTGAAAATGGACACAGTAAAATATGGAGACTTTCACTGAGCTAACAATGGCTTTGGACATTTACAGCAAGACTTTAAGTGATGTAATTTTCTGTCTGTTAGGGATGAGATGAAATGTACCCTATGGGTAACTATCCCTCTTCTGTATCTGTAAAAGGGGGCAATGTGATGCTGGGGAGGTGGTACCCTAATTTTGGAACAATTATTTCCATCCTACAGAAAATGATTTTCCTGCACTTGAAGTGTTTAGAAATTATCCTTACAGGTTTGGTAGCACAGTAGGTAACTGGTTTTCCTACCCCTATTTTTAAAGCAATTAAACATAGATATTTCCCCTTGTAACAGCCACCTACTAGCCGTGGTGATTTTGCATGATACTTATTATTTCCTGGGACACGTCTGCCACATCCTCCCCATTTCAGAAATACTTCTGGATTACAAAACCGTACTGAGCTCAAAGCAAATTTCTTAAACAAAATGGCCAGAGCGCTGACAAGACTTTCCTTTCTGGAGTATCTTAAATGAAAGCATGGAGCCCAGGAGGGTTAAACATCTTGGGGAAACAATGATAAATCCTGGTAACCTTCAACTCAGGCCTAAATTCGGTGGCAAATTTCCAGCAAACATCACAGTGGGTGTTCAAAAGGGAAGGTTTTTTTTTTTTTCCTCCGCACCGTTTAAATGTCTGGCCGATTAAAGGCTAAATTCTGGGATTAAAAGTTTCGGTAACAAAAGATCACCCCAAACTTAAGTCTACGGGGCTTGAGAGCTGGCCTTCTTAGAGCCGGCCTCGTGGCCTCAGGTGGCTAGGACCCCTGGCAGGAGTCGGGGAGGGGAGCGCTGGCAGAGGCCCAGGACGCGCGCGCCGGCGCCTGTGGCAGTGGCCATGGCGGGACGCGCGGACCGGGTACCGAGCCAAAGCTGCTATTGCGCGCCCCGCGGGCGGCGGAGACAGGCGAGGGGGTGCAGGTGGCCGTGATCCCGCGGATGCCATGGACTCTGGCCGCACATGCACGAGTCCCGCCCGCGGCCCGGTTCCGCCGCCCTCACCAAAATTGATCTCCAAGTCCAGGGACCCAGATTGCCAGATTGTCGGGACCGGAAAAACCCCGCAGCATCAGGGCCCCAGGCTCTGGCAGCACTAGGAGGGAAGAAGGGGACGGCTTTAGCAGCTCCAACTCAATCTGCCTTCGCATCTCCTTCCAGCAGCGGTGCCCTGTGTGCCCCGCCCCTTCTCCTGCCTTGCCCGGACATCCCCAGGCCAGCAGGTCAGGGGCGGGCTGGGCTCTGATGGCATGCAAATTAGCACTGATTCGGTCCTGGAGGGACTCAGCCCCCAGCACTGCTGTGGTCCCTGTTCCAGGAGGGGACTGGGCCCTCCGGGTAGAGATGGTAACAAAATAGACAGCAGCCAGTCCCTCCGTCGTCTGGGCCAAGGAGTGGTGGCTCTGGGCCCCCATTTATCACCACCGCCTCCATAGGCCCACAAAGCCCAGGCTCCTTGGGCCGATCCGGGGTGGCCTGAACTCCTTAAGGCACCTCAAACATTAGGAGCTCCAATGTGGCCATCACCCACGTGGTCAGGGTCCCCATTGTGAGCCAACAAGACAGAGAGGAAGAATCTGGGAGTAGAAGAAGTTTGTTTTGTTGCTTCTTTTTAACAGGTCCCCTTTAGTCCCTAACATGCGCATGTGGTCCCCTGGTCCCTACCCGCTCTGCAGGAGGCAGGTATGGCCCCCAGTCCTGGAGGAATGCAGGATTCAGGGTGAGGTCCCCTCCTGGTCCTCATCCTGGCAGCAAGGTGCAGGATACTGGATGTGGCCCTTTGGACTCCATCAGCCCTGCTGCAGGGTGCAGGTTGTGGTCCCCTTGAGCCCATCCGGCTGCAGGGTGTACCCATGGATACTGAGTCTTATCCTTTGGCTTCTGGAATAGTCTTTCCAGGGCCACAAATCCTCACTAGGAAAAGACTGCCATGGAGGGAAATCTTTCTCTTCCTCCCTTCTGCCAGGTAGGGGAGTGGCAGGGGACACAGGAAAGAATCTAACCATGCAGGAGCTGCCCCTCACCTCACAGCCCTATTCATGAGAAATTGCAGCTAAAGAGTGAGGTTTGGGGCACACACCCTAGAGAACAGGAAGCTCTCTGAGTGATTGGAAGCTCAAGCTCAAGGTATGGTCCCTGTTGTAGTGACTGACTGGTGTTGCCCTGTCCCTACAGTGTGTTAGGGCAGCTTGCTGGACAGATAGCCCCCTTCCCATGAGCCCAGCTTGATGGGCAGACCCCCATGTTAGTGTCTGTCACCACCCACCGTAGCCTGGGAAATGGTAAGACTTGTTCACTCACACAAGGACGTCCCCATGTGGGCCAGGCAGGCTTGTCTTGGTTTGACCTGGGTGGGATTTCTTGCCTTTCCCATTCCCTACCAGCATTTCTTCTGAACTTCTAGTAATTACTGACTTGGAAGTAAACTAAGCATCTTTGGTTTTAAGCTGGATTTCCCAGTCTTTATTTACCTTCTTTCAAGTATGTGCTTTCTTCTCTATTTGTTCTTTCACGTTTTACGGATCTCTCTCTCTCTTTCTCCCCCCACCTTTTTCCTCACCCCTCCCATACACATTTTCTCTTTTGATGTGTCTGTATTATACCTGGCGTAGGCCTCCATTTTCAAGACCCAAAATAGCCAGCTACTAGATCTCCAGCCATTGTTTTCACAGCGCCATTAAGAAAGGGGTGGGCATGGTGGTACGTGCCTGTAATCCCAGGTACTTGGGAGGTAGAGCTCTGAGGATCATAGTTTCAATCTAGTCCAGGAAAAAAAAAAACACAGAAAACCAGAAAAATAAACTAAGAAGTAAAAGGATGCAGCATGGCTCAAATGGCAGAGTATGTGACAAGCACATAAGAAGCCTAAGATTCGATCTCAAATACAGCCTTCCAAGGGGAGGAGGAGGAGGAAGAGGAAGAGGAAGAGGAGGGGAGAGTAAGAAGGAAGATGGCAAAAGGGAATCCAGCCACCTAGTCAAACTCCTTTAGAAAACCCAGTGCAATGATTTCTACTAGATTCCGCTGAACACCTCAGATTTAGGAAAATCTGGGAAATACATCCTTTTAATTGGGAAATACATCCTAGTTCACAGAGTTTATTGCCACCAGGAATAAAAGCAGTCCTGCAGTAAGAAAGGAGAAATCAGATGTTGGTGCAGGCTCTAACTAGGCCTGTACCCCCACCATCCAGTCCAGTCAAGTCCTCCTCCCCCACCTGGACCTACCACTTCTCCCCAGCATCCTCCCTCACCCACCTTCTTCCTTCCTCACCCTCCTTTACCCTTCCTCACCCTCTCTCATCCAGGAAGGACATGTATGGTCATTTTGTAGAGAGGGCAGAGGATTCACTCCCAATACTCAGGATCTCTTGCTTGAACCACCTGGCTCTCTGGTGCTTGGTCACTCCACCCCATGGGAGCTGAGTTCAAATTAGCCTCCTGTTACAACCATAGCACTTCAATGTTTTTCCTGTTCTGAGCTTACCCCATTGCATTTCTCCCCTGGGTAGGTGGTACAAGGCAGCCTCCCTCTTCCACAGGAACCTAATTTCTTGAGTCTCCTGATGGAAATCCACATGTATAACAAAGCTTCCCAGAGATGTGTATAAGAAAGAGAGAGTCTCTAACCTGTCCCCTCATGTTAAATATTTAGTAGGATCTCTAATCAGTGCAAAGAGTCAGACATGAATATAAGGCTTCCTTTGCTACCTGGAGAAGGAATGATGACAAAACACTTTCTGCATCCAAAGCCCTTCTGGGCTCTCATGCTTTTTCTTTAGTATCAACCAGATCCAGAGTGTAGCTATAGCTTTATCAGGTGATCTTTTGTCTCTTTGGTCCTTCTTCTAGCTCTGCCAATAAACTGAGATTGCAAATGTTTTGGTATTTATTCTAGCTCCTATGCCAACATAGGGTCATAAAAAGGACAGGATCCAGGGAGCTGAATCTCAAAGTCACATGGACTTCTATGTGAAGCCCCCAGACCCCTGAGTGCTGTGAAGACTTCATCCTGCCCTAAAAACCCAGTTCTATTGTGGTCCACTCACTTTTTCATACCTAGGTAACATGATTTTTGATATCTTAGTTGGTTATACATTGCTATGTGATATACTGCACTGATTAGATTACATTCAGTTTGACAACCAGGTCAGTAATTAATCTTCTCTGCGTCTCCAAAGTGCATGCAACACACGTACACAGCTCTTGATTTGGGTTTGGGGTTGGGATCTAAGTTCAGGTCTCGATGCATAGGCAAAACAGGCCAACTTATCACTGCCAATAAGGGTTGATGCTGAGCCCCCACAGCAAAGTGCAGACTCGTCACCTCTGAAGTGAGAATAAGGCACAGATGTCACTGGGATTTGTGAAGATGAAGTGAGATCGTGGCTGAAAGCCACTTAGCCTGCATTCGGGTTCAAGTATGCATACCATCAATGAGGCCAGTGAGCTGGTGTGGTACACCCTCACTCATTCCTGTAAGATCTAGATAAAGTGCGTTACATTTATAATATAGCCTTTATTAGTATATTTTACAGCAGTATGAAATAAGAGCTTCTATATAGTAAAAGTCTGGTTCATCTGAAATGGATTGTTTACACACACACACACAGAGTGATGTGTATAATCCAGTGTCAGATGTCAGGAAGCTGGAGAGCCTCTGATCTAGCAAGGACAGGTGAGAAAGGCCAGAGGGGTCGTGTTTGCAATACCTGGTGCACACTTCTGAGCTCAAGTACAGTTTGTGTGAGATCCCATCACAGCTGAGGTGAGGGCTCACCATGGGGAAGTCCACACTGAATCACCACCCAGTTTCCAGAGAATACTTTTGCAGTGGCACTGGAACTTCTTGGACATCAAGTCAAGCACCTTCCTCTTCCCTCTCAGACTTTGGCAAGGGTATTGCTGTGTAGCTAGGAGCTCTACAGGAAGATGGTGATGATGGTGAAGAACAGAGATGTTGTGAGCAGTAGGAAGGAGAGGAGGAGCACAAGACACCTTATGAAGTCTAATGTATGGGGATCAAGGAAAACATAGCTTGAGTGACACCCCTCCCCTGACCAGCTTGCAAGAATCTGACACCATCCCATTCAGTAGGACTCCCAAGCTTTCCCAGGCATGCAATCTCCTAGGGATATGTTTGTTGGAACAGCAGTTCTCAGGATCCTCAACCATCACTCCGCTTCCCCATTACACAGTCTGTGTAGGAAGCTGAATGCTAGCAACAGAAATGTTGCACACCAACGTGACACTCAGCTTCCTGTTGTTGTAACTTACACCTGAGATAAATTACCTATT